ACCTTGGTGATGAGATTGTTAGTTTGATCTCTTATAGAAAGGCTATTATCTTTTAGTCGAATATCATAACCTTTCTCTAAAAGTTGTCCAAGGCTCAAGATGTTGGTCTTCATACTTGGAATATAGTAAACGTTGGAGATGAATTGATGATCTCCATTCTTCATTCGGATGAGAATTTTTCCTTTACCTTTCACCTCCATCTTTGATTCATCTCCTAAGGCCACATCTCCTTTCACTGATTCATCGAGCTCCACGAACATGCTTCTTTTCCCGCACATGTGATTGCTTGCACCGCTGTCAAGGTACCACTTGTGGAAATCATCTCTTTCATCCTTCTTGTACGCCATTAATAACATATCTTCTTCTTGGCTTCTTTCTTCAGCATAGTTGAACTTCTCTTCAACTCTATTGTTGTTTGGAGCTTTGCATTCAGAAGCATAATGTCCAAACTTCCCACAATTATAGCATTTGACATTTGATTTGTCGTACCTTGGTTTTGGATATCCTCTCCCACGTCCTCTTGATGAGCTTTCTCCTCTTTGGTTAGTCTTGTCTTCATAAGACCTCCAGCCACGTCCATTTCCATAACCACAACCTCTTCCTCGTCCTTGACCGCCACCTCTTCTTGGATGACTTCGGCCGCTTCCATCTTTGGTTTGATCAATTTGCATCTTGAGTACTTGTTCTGCAAGGTCTTCCTTCTTCTTCTTCTTTTCTTCATAGGCTTGTAGTGATCCTAGTAGTTGCTCCATTGTCATATCCTCCAAATCTTTCGTCTCTTCAATGACAGTGACAATATGCTCAAATTTTGAATCCAACGATCTAAGAACCTTCTCCATGATTCTTACTTCACCTAGCTTCTCCCCATTCCTCTTTAGGTTATTAGTAACCGCTAGAACTCTTGAGAAGTAATCTTGGACAAGTTCACCTTCCTTCATTTGTAATGCTTCAAATTCTCCTCTTAGAGTTTGAAGACGTACCTTCTTGACTTGCTCTGCTCCCTTGTAAGAAGTTCGAAGCTTCTCCCATGCTTCTTTGGCCATCTTTGCTCCGGCAACCTTCTCGAATGTGTCTTCATCTAATCCTTGATAGATGAGACAGAGAGCCTTCTTGTCTCTCTTCCTTGAGTCTCTCAAACTGTCTTTTTGAGTTTGAGAAAGACTACCTTCATTCTCCGGTTCAATGTAGCCTTTTTGGACAATCTCCCACACGCCATGTGCTCCTAGAATGGCCACCATTCTTAGACTCCAGTTGTCGTAGTTGCTCTTAGTGAGCATTGGAACTTGGAAGGGAACACCATTACTTGCCATCTTTAAGAGAATCTTCTAGCTCTGATACCACTTTGTTGGAAAGAAAGAACTTTTAAAAGTGATGGAGAAGGTGTTTAAGAATTTGAAAGACAAAGGAACAAATTTAAGAAGAAGAAAGTTTTAGAACTTAGAGAGCTTAGGAACTTCACTTAACTTCCTTTATTATTTCTTTTAGCTTGTTAGTTACAAAATGAGAGAGGAGGTAGCTATTTATAGCCTCCAAAGTACAAAATATCTAAAATATTTTATTCCTAAATCTAGAGAATTCTATCTTAATATCTAGATTATTTTACAACAATTATCTAGAGAAATCTCTAGATATTTATTCTCTACAACTCTCTAGAACATTTTAAGGAGGTGGAAGTGTTGGTTTTTCTAAAGAAAACTCTAGAATCTTTGATTAAGCATAATTGGGTTTTGGCCCAATTATTATTGGATCATTAACCCAATATTTAAGCATGATTCAAAATCAAGTTTATCTTTCAACAGCCACTAGCTATAAAAGAGAGAAGTCGATGGGTTAAGCTGGTCTTTGAACCGCCCATAGAGTTGTTTGTTATGAGCATTATGAAATACTGCAATCTCTATGCTTCTCTCGAGCGTAAAAATCTACCCATTCACATCCATGAGAACGTTTAGCTTTGACTAATTATCAGAACTTTCAAGAAAGTTGGCCAATGCATCTGTTCTCCCTCGGTACATTATGGTAGTCATATAAGCATCATAACTTCCTCTAATATAACCATGAAAGAAATACTTTCCTCCACCAACCCATATGGCCATATCACTGAAAATCTTCACAAACATTCATTACGGGGCTTCTGTACTTTGAATTCGACCCATTACCTTTCTCTTAGAAAATGGGCTTATTTGGGCCCAGTAGCCCACTAAAGACCCATGAAGATATAATTTGCGAGTTAATTTAGGTTTAGTTATGTGATCTGTTTTTTAATTAATTCCACATCGGTAACACTGTTAGTAACTTGATCAAGTATATAATTTGGATTAGTATAATAAGTGTATAACCATTAGTTTCCAAATGGCTTTGGAGTTAGATACACATTCATGTTTATTCCCATGCGTAGTATCATAACCTTGATACAAAATGGTACATAAGGGTCATAACGATGCATAGAATATACATGATGAAAAGCCAATTGGTTTTGCTTTATTTTTCAAATCTATGGCTTTTCAAAAAATAAAATTTAAGGTGTGCTAAGTTATACCTTTAATTTAAAAGGCCAATTTTTATAGAGGTTGATTCCCTTGACATTTGGTTAAGTGGTAAAGATTTTGGTCCAATGATTGATCTAATTATATAAACGAATTATTCTTTAAAAAATATTAAAGCGACAACTGTATAATGTGGTACGACTGTACGAGCTATTGAAACTTACAAAAGAGTCGAAGAATTGATTCTCATTCTACTTAAAACTTGAAACATAACTTAACAAGTAAGAACCAAGTTAGGTAAGACTTAAGACATATGCATGCCCCTTTTTGTTCGCTTCGAATTGCAAAAAGAATGGTAGATTAAGAACAAAATTTGGTGGTTGACCCAACATACATCAAAAACAATTTAACTTTGATGATATACTACAACTATAAAAATATATCAGCAATGATTTTTTGGAATGTTATAATGTTTTACATAAGTGCAATGAATCTAACATTAATGTATGATGAACATGAATTAGCTTATTGATTTTGAATCGAAACTTATAATTTTTTAATTTAATATTGAAGTAAGTTGATGGAGTATAGTATTTCCAATTTACAGTAGTCCTTTGCAAAATGGTATGGTGGATTGTTTCTGCAACCATTTCATAAAAACATGTTCTATTTCTACATCAGAGATAGAGATAAAATGTAAAAATATTAGCATATATCTAAAGTTTTTGAATCCAACAAACATAAACCTTCATAATTATATAATATTTCCAATGATGCGAAAGTACAATACGCACAGGAGTTAGGTATAACCTAAAGACATGTATATGTATATATATCAGCATCGAATAGTGTATATATTTAGTGTATATATATTTCCACGCATCACAAAGTAAGTACGGGTGGTTTGTATATATATATTTTTTATGTTTTCTATTCATGAGTTTGATTGGTAGTTAGTTAAATGATACGTAGTTGTAAAATACTCTCTATAACAGAGTTGTTCCTTTTTCTTTTGAACTAGCGTTATATAATAAGAAGCCTTTTTTTATACTCCCACTAAAAGAATTGAATATACGTTTACACTTTACTTAAACCTAGTTTAGTAGTAGTCGCGTAAGTATATATGTGAAATTGATAAAGTAAATGCAAAATATAGTTGACAAAAAATGCAAAATGTAGGATCAAATCATTTGGTTTGACCGCGATGGCTAAACACGTTAGATAGTTGGGCAGTCGCTACAACTAAGCAGCCGCACCTATTTTATTGTCAATTATTTGTATATTTTTATATGTAGTTATTCTATTTATTCAATATTTAAAAAAAAAATCCAAGAAAAGGTTCATAATTTTAGTTTGACATTGATTAAAGAATAGGCTAGTTAATCAGTCTACACATTGGCTTCTAAATTCTCAATAACCGGCCTTTGATTTTAGGTTAGGTGGCCTATAAAAACTTATAGAAAAAATTTGAGTTCTAGGTACTATTATACTAGTAGAATAAGGACAAAACAAATCAAATACTATTTTGTTAAAAAAAGTTAATACACATTGGGATTATAAGGCCAACGTATCCTGTTGATTATTCTGTATAATTATAATAATGTAATATGTTTGTTGAATGTAACGTATGTTCTTAATTACGTTGGAACTTGGAAATGATACATACGGTAAAGAAATTTATGTTGCTACATCTTCGTTATTGTAGTTAATAATCATTATTTACAAAACATAAGATTATGTTTCTTATATGTATTCTATTACTTTAATATAATTTTTATATACTTATTGTATTCATTTTAAAATTTAACTTATAAAATTTCGTTATACAGTAATTTCATAACTTTTTCGAAATTTAAGTATTTGTATGTTTACTTTGCAATTCTTTCAAATGCACTTACATCATGCAAAACTAAATTCTTATATAAAATTTTAGTGTTAATATTATTAAATTTTAATTAATACAGTAGAACTTGTATAATTTAATACTCAATAAATTATTTTTCAGTTTAAAAATTAATTTATTAATGAAATCATATATCTATAAATTAATGTATTTAAAAATTAAAAACATTTCACTGTTTTAACGTTATTATATTACAAAAGTTTTACTGTATTTAGAAAATAATAAAACAAATAACATAGAATTCGATAAATATTTTAAAATCACTAATCCAATAATATGTGATTTTATTAGATTTTCAAGTCAATGAAAATATATAGATCAAAAATCTCACTTAAAAGTCAGCAAAAGTGTTTTCAATTGCCTCAATCCTTCCATATTAGACGACATCTTCTTGATAATGGATGCGATATAGCTATAATGGAGTATAATTTTTTAAAATACATATATAAGGAGATAAATATTAAAAGCCCTAAAAAAGGAGGCAGATATTCTTAAAAGTGATCGTAAAAAGGAAAAAAAATGTTCTAAAACAGGAGATAAATATTAAAGAAGTTATTTCCTATTTTTAAACTAAAAATAAAATACCAAATATTACTAATTTAAAAACACATAACCGAAGCGATAGAGAAAGAGAGTCGCGACTAGGTCGTAGTCGTGCTCTTGTTTTGCAATTCACGTTTCCTCGCTTGAGCTTCTTCGTCTTCTTCCTCATCTTCTTCAGACTCTTCTCTCTCTCTCTCTCTCTCTCTCTCTCTCTCTCTCTCTCTTTCTCGTTTTCACTCGTCACGGGTTTCTCTCACACTCCGTTAATAACATCGCGCGTTTCACATTCTTACCATCTTTAAACGCTTTCCTCTGTTTCTCGTCTTCTCACAATTATCAGGTGCACAAGCCTCTCTCTCTCTCTCTGAAATAATTATAAGTTTATAATCTGTTTCCTTTTTGAGTAATTATCAATCTCATTAAGATCTTCATCACCAATCTTCTCAATAGATTTTTTAATTTTTTTATTTTATAAAATCTTCTCAATAGGTTTTTCATTCTGTTTTACTGATTTTTTTCTTCTGATTTTAGCGAGTTTCATTACATTGAATCAAAATCGGAATTGGAATCAGATCAAAATATTTTTTTCTCGAAATGGATCGGAGTTTTAGTCAATTTTGATGACTTATTCTTACAGTCTTTGGACTCTTTCTTCCCCTTTTTGTTTTACTCTGTTCTGTTCTTCTTTCTATGCAACTTTTTTTGACCAAGTTTTTTTTATTACTTATGAATAGAATATATATATAGATGAACTGATGAACATAACACATACTCTTATTCTATATATATCGTATAAAACTTTCATCAGTTTTAACTTTTTTTTTGTCAGTTTCATCTTTTATGCTTCAGGTCCCACTTCCAACATATATTAGTATCTTTTTTTTCATGCATATAAGTGGTTGCAGAATTTGGTAACTTTGACCTATATTCCTTCTCTTTATAAAAAATTGTTATGATAATTTTGCAAATTCTTACTTTGTTTTGCAGCAATCTTCAGCAACATAAACTTCATGGTTTCTAGCTGCTGATTGTTGGAAGTTTTTTTATTTGTTTTGGTCTCAAGTCTCTGTTTGAGAAACAGAGGTTACAGAGAGATTTGAAGTCTTTATCAATGCTAAATTTATCTGGAGTCAGAAGTCAACGTAGAAACTCAAGAACTTTGCCTCAAGGAGGTAGAGAGATGATTACTCCAACAAAATATTCTTTTTGATCATTTCATATATCCAAGAAAGAGAATTTTTGGATTCTAATGATTTTAGGAAAAAAATTGCAGATATGGACTACTTAGAACCCAAAACAAAGAGCAAACTCATGGGAAAGCTTCTCTTACTAGCTTCACTTGTAATCTTAGCCTTTATTGTGATCAATCAAGCTTCAAGTTTTACATCTCCAAGCGTGGTATCTTCATCAACTCAAATTACACAACAACCTAATAACTTTTTACATTTTCTTGATATTTTTCTGCCGTTTTGTTGCGTTTGATTTCAGTTTTCTCGAAGAGAAGGAGTGACTCATGTGTTAGTCACTGGTGGAGCTGGATACATCGGTTCACATGCTGCTCTAAGGCTTCTCAAAGATTCATACCGTGTAACCATTGTGGTAACTAATACGCCTACTTCTTGGATACTAGTTTAAAATTTTTCAAGAACTATTTGATGAAATTTGAAAATTTTGATCTCTCAACAGGACAATCTCTCACGTGGGAATCTTGGTGCGGTTAAGACTTTACAGCGATTATTCCCACAAACCGGAAGACTTCAATTCATTTATGCTGACTTAGGAGATCCTAAAGCTGTACACTTTTATCCCTTTTTTAATCTTATAAACATAAGAAAATTCGGTTTGTTTTTTCTTAACCGATACAATTTTCAGGTGGATAAAATCTTCTCAGAGAATGCTTTTGATGCTGTGATGCATTTTGCTGCTGTAGCTTATGTTGGAGAAAGCACTCTTTATCCTCTAAAGTAACAGTCTTGAATCTACTATTGTTCTAAACGTTGTTAGAGAATTCGTTTTATGAGACTCATTGTTTTGTTTTGTTGCAGATATTACCACAACATTACATCAAACACATTAGGAGTTCTTGAAGCTATGGCTAAACATAAAGTGAAGAAACTGATCTATTCTAGCACTTGTGCTACTTATGGAGAGCCTGAAAAAATGCCCATTACTGAAGATACTCCGCAGGTAAATAACCTTAATTTATAGGGAAATCACCAGATTGATATATGAATTCATTCTTGAAAATCTAAAATACTTGTGTTTAGGTTCCGATTAATCCTTACGGAAAAGCTAAAAAGATGGCAGAGGATATGATCTTGGATTTTTCCAAGAGCTCTGACATGGCGGTCATGATCTTAAGGTTAGTCTCCTTTAGCCCTACTCTATGATCAATGAATACAATTGCAAATGTTAATGAATCTTATATCAACTTGCAGATACTTCAATGTGATCGGTTCTGATCCAGGAGGTAGATTAGGAGAAGCTCCAAGACCCGAGCTTCGTGAGCAAGGAAGGATTTCTGGTGCTTGTTTCGATGCAGCTCGTGGTTTCATTCCAGGACTACAAGTAAACAAAAGCTTTTATATTCAAGAATCATCTTGTTTTATTGTTGCTTTCTTTGCAAGAAATATAATATATATAATATGTTTTGTGATAGGTGAAAGGAACAGATTACAAAACATCGGACGGTACATGTATCAGAGACTATATTGATGTTACTGACCTCGTAGATGCTCACGTGAAGGCTCTTGAGAAAGCTCAGCCTCGAAAAGTTGGCATCTACAATGTTGGAACTGGAAAAGGTCTTGACAGTAACATCAATCTTTTTAGCTTTCATGTAACTTATGTAGTGATCAAGAAACGGATGACTTTCATAGTTTGATTTCATTGCACAAAATTGTGGTACAATGAGGTTAACCGGTTTTGTGGTTTGGTTGAGCAGGAAGATCGGTTAAGGAATTTGTGGAGGCATGTAAGAAGGCAACAGGAGTTGAGATTAAAGTAGATTTCTTGCCACGACGACCGGGAGATTACGCAGAGGTTTACAGTGATCCGACAAAGATTTTGAGAGATTTGAATTGGACTGCGCGATTCACTAATCTTCAGGATAGTCTTCAAGTTGCTTGGAGGTGGCAAAAGATTCATCCTCATGGTTATGCTTCTTATTGAAAACAGAGGAAACAAAAACAAACTCTTGAAAAGTTCTATTGTTTTTAAAATTTCATTTTATAAATTTGCAAATTGCAATTATATTTTGAAGGCTTTTATAGCTTACATAGGAAAGAGATATTGTGACTACTTATGTACTTATTGGTGGAAGTGTGGAGCATAATGGTGAATAATGCTCTGAAGTGGATCAACACAACCAGGCAAACGTATTTATTTATTTATATCATTTTTATAAAAAAAAATGTTCCAAGAGCAAAAGGAACTTATAAAAAAATGTGGCAAGTCAAGAAAAAATAAGAACATACACACTTGTAAATTTGTAATACAATGTTAGCTTCTTAATAATACTTAACAGACAAGTGAAACTGTTCACAAAAAAATAAAAATAGAAACATATACATATATAGTGATTTATACTTACACTAAGTAATTTTTAAGATTCGCGAGGTTCCCAATTAATGATAGAATTTTCATAAGACTTCAGCAATTCATAAGATCCGGTTCCAAGAAATTAGTGGCATTTCCGATGGAAGAAGGAAGCTCCACCAAGTATCAATTCTTGGAATTTAGAGGCGGTAGAAAAATTAGGAAGCTCTTTAAGGTTTACACAAGAACCCAAATCCATCCATTTGAGATTTCTAATGTGCTGCATAGAAAAATAAAAGCTACAAGAATACATTTAGTAAAACACATACTACAAGGAAATTCACATAAACTATACTTGCGAAATGAAGAGTTTCTTGAAAAAAAGGTTAGTGAAATATTGAAACTGAAAATTTTAAATATGAAAGACAATAATTTACAGTTACTTCATTTTTTTTTTCCACAGCTTCTGAAGCATGCTGCCCTGCGTGCTTATTTTGAAAAGGAACTTTGGATTAATTAATTTTTTTTAAATGATTTTTTATATAGAAATATATTAATACTAAAATTGTGTAGATAATTTTGGCCATGATAATTAAAATTTTGAAAAAAAAAGAAAAATAAAAAAACATTATAAGTTCTAAAATTATAAAAATTTATTTTGAAATACGATGTTCATTATCTTATTTTTTTTTAATCCATTTAATCTTTTCAATTTTCTGTAAAAAGAAAAATAAGAAGATATATTTAACTTACGGTATGTAAAAACAAAAAAAAAGCCAAATAAATCCAACATACAAATGTAACTACTAAATAAATGAACGTTATGAAAAAAAACACATAGCCGACTTAACTCCACTCCAAAAATTTCCTTTTTCCACATCTCTCTGCAGATTTCATTTTTTCAGTTAGTCATCACAATCTCATCAAAAAGATACGAAAGAGATCCAACGGTCGAGTTCTAATCGAATCCTAACTCAAAAAGATACGAAACAGATCAAACGGTCGAGATCTAATCGAATCGTAACTCAATAACTATAAAACTCTCATATCTCTTCTCCCATAGCTACAATTTCCTTTTTTCCCACTCTCTATCACAATTTGTTTTCTCTTCCACTTTCTCTCGCTGCAACTTTTGAGTTCTTCAGAGTGATTTTTTTCAGTTTCGAATCTTAAGAAGCCCTAAAAAAAAAAGCAAAGATGATGCAATCGAATGAAGAATTCGTGAGATTTCTAGGCGAAGGTTCTTATGGTTATGTCCATCTCGTCAAATACACAAACCCCGACGGCTCCTCCTTCCACGCCGCCGTGAAAAACTCTTACGCCGACGACGACGACGAAGGCTTCGACAATCTTCAAAGAGAGTTAAAGATCTTACTCGAACTCAGAGGAAACCAGAGAATCATCGAATGCTTTGGAGACAAACTGGAACAAGGCCTCAGCTCTTACGGGAACACAGTCCACAAATTGCTTCTCGAGTACGCGCCTGAAGGCAGTTTAAACGCTTTCATGGAGAATTTCGCCGACAGAAAGCTTCCCGAACCGATGATCAAAGACTTTACGCGCATGATTCTCGAAGGTTTGGTCTCGATTCACCATCACGGCTATGTTCACTGCGATCTCAAATCCGACAACCTCCTTGTCTTCCCGTCGAAAAATTCATCGTACGAGCTAAAGATCTCTGACTTCGGAAACTGCTTGAGTGACGGAGAAGTTCCTGATCACTGGAGAATTGATTCTCCGTTCGTGGGGACTCCGATTTACATGCCGCCGGAGTCTCTCTGTGACGGCGTCGCGAGAAAAACCCTAGATCTATGGTCGGTGGGGTGCTTAGTCATGGAGATGTACACAGGTGTGGTTCCATGGGACGGTGTTAAACTCAGCGATCTCAAGGCTCGTCTCCTTGATGGTAAAGCTCCAGAGATTCCAGACTGTGTGCCATGCGATGCACGGAACTTTATCGAAACCTGTTTCTCGAGCCAACCTGAGGAAAGAGGAAGTGCCTGTGAGTTGTTGTTTCATCGGTTCTTGAGTCGTCGTGAAGAAGAAGACGAAGAGAAGATGATCGCTGAAGAGAGAAGAAATTCGATCTTATTGAAGTTAAGGTTGAGAATCAGACGAGCTTCCAAGAGATCAACGGATGTTTCAGAGAAGAAGTTTATTCCATCAAAGGCTCCACAGTTTAAGAGTACTCTGAATAAGTTCTTGAAGCTGAAGATTATGCCTATGAAACCCTCTGGTTCCAATCTAGTTTCTGTTCAGTAACGTTGCTGAGTTTTTAGCATCTCTGTTTACTTTAGTGTATAAAGATTCAAAGTACATGTATCTAAGGTTTCAATCTGTAAAGTTCCCTTTGAAGAATTCAATGTATATTTTTACAATTTTCCTTGAGTTACAAAGACAACGAACTAACTTGAAGTTCATAACATATATACAAGAAAAGTATGACATAAAACGCATTAGAGAGGTTCTTTCTTCTTTCTTGTTCTTCTTGTAACTGTCTGGTTCCGTCTTGTTCTTTTCTTGTTCAGACTCGTTCAATCTTTTTCAGTCTTGTTTCAAAGAGGCTCCATGGACCAGAAGGAGCTCTTGATACCATGTTGAAAACTGCAGGAAATTGCAGGTCACCTTCATGTTCTCCTTTGTTAAGCTCCTGTTCAAAGGCAGAAAATAGAGAAACGATTTTGTAGAGACTTAAGAAAGAGAGAATGATATGAGATGAGATGTAGAGAGCTAGTTTTTTTCACACAAATATTATTCAACACTCGTAATACATATTTTATAGAAACCGGAGAAGTAACCTCTGTTTCTCTACTCCTTACATGACTTCAAGCCCCAAAATAACTACCCACTCTAAGTATGATTAACTCAAAGTAACAAGCAACCTGAAAGACTTATACATACCAAAATACACAGTGGATACATGATGACATTCAACAACAAGGTTTAAGACTAATCTTAACTATGGATTCAAGGAGAAAAGTAAAAGGCATAAAAATACTTACGGTTGCTAACGAGTTACAAGCATGTGGGAGTGAACCGCAAAAGCTTGTCTCTGGAATCCATGTAACTCTCTGTTTCAAACACATCCCTGCTTTTTTCTGCTCAATACAACAAAAGGTTTCATATTCTCGTGACTGTTTTGCTTTTGTAAACTCTTTGATCAGCTTTAAATTGTCAACGGAGCTCTGAGAGTCTCTTACAAAAGTTACTGATATGAGAAGTTACAGTATAGCTCTCTCAACTGAGTGTATAATTTGAAAAACAGGTTCCTCAATGGTTTTAACTGCCAATTCTGATAGCTGTTTTAGTCCAATCTCTCACTGGAACCAAACAACTTCTGCAAAATCTTTCTCCATGGTTCAGTTCATAAACCACCTTCCACTGCACTAGTCTGCAAGGTAACACTTCTTACTTCGGCTTCTCCTGCGATCACTACCGTGCATCTGCAACGCCAAAACAAAGGACGGATTACAAATACTGACCCTACACGTGGATTCGAATCTTCTGGAGAAACTAACCTGGTTTTGGTAACAAGTCCATGGTCCACAACTCCATCAATCGTATCCAGACTTTTAGCCACACTAGCTGCAGAATTTAACATCAGATCAACCCAAAATCGACCAACAGCAAAAGTTTCAATGGTTGCAGTAAAAAAACTTTTTACCGAGGCTTGGGATAGGAGTAGTGAAGATAACATCAAGAATGTTGTGACCATCACTTGTGACTATAGGAAAGTCTCCTCCAAGAGGTCCTGCATCTCCTACAGAAGCTCTTCTCCACACCTTTTCCCACATATGCACAAACCAATACACAAATCAATAATCCATAAACCGAAAACATTTCCAGAAGAAACTAGGATGATTCATACCTCTGCATCCCCTAGATACAAGTCATCTATCTCCTCAGCTATAGCTAACCAGTTAAGCTGTGCAACAGAAATTCATTTCAGGTTTCCTTAAGTACACATACCAAGCTCAAAAACAGAATCCGTTGTCTGAAAATTCGCTTACGGATTGAACTAAAACAGGGACAGAACCTTCGAGTTCAGCCTTGTAATGTTCTTCCTTTATCATGAAGACTGCATCATCAGCTGCTTTTACAATAGACTGCATTGTGAATCTCTCTTTATAAGCCTAAAGGCTAAGCAATGGTTATTTTTTCAAAAGATCGCAAATTTTAGACTAAACCACACTCGCCTTTTGTCTCAGAATATAGTCATCCTCGTCATGTGTTCTTCTTCGTCTGCCAATAACTGCGATAAGTGTACTCTCTTCTACAGCATCAGCATCATGAAATGCAAGATCAATCTACAAAAGGAGAGGAGTCACACTACAAATGTTACAGCAAGATGAAACAAAATAGATCAAACCGGTTTAGAAAACGGATGCAGCTACCTGAAAATCATCCCGGAAATGTTTCAAAGGGATTCCAGACTTTGCTGCTTCGCTTGCGCTTCGAGCAGACCTGAACAGAGGTCAGCACAAAACCAGCATGAACCAAGAACATTTGGAATAGAGATTTCAAGTTTTCCAACAATTTAACGAACAAAAGGTTGATACTTTGTTGGATTCAAAGATGATAAACAGCAGAACCAGAAGCGAAAGGACTCACATTGGTACACCAACAACATCTTCTAGAGAGCCCGAACGAAGTTGCTGACCCAAATAACGTATAGCCATATCTGAGCCTTCTCCAGATCCTAAACCAATGACCATCCCACTCTTTACATAACTATCCACCTGAAAAGTTACCAGACAAGTTTTGTATTCAAGTATCAATCTTTCTTCAATTTTATGAAAAATTACCATAATATCATGTTGCAATCAAGTATTGATCTTTCTTCAATTTTAAGGATTTCAGCATTTCGAACAATACCCAGAAGAGATAAACCCTAAAACTGAATTCTAAACATTCGCATTCATAAGTACTGGTTTCGACTTTTGAAGAACATATTTTGTCATAGCAATTTGATATCTAAATTAGTAAGATCAAGTTTCCCGATTTAACCCTTACGGTGTGGTGAGCTGCTCGGAGAAGAGGAGAGACGTCCGGAGAAAGACTGGCGCTTGTTCGAGGTACTGTGAAATGCCTGAATCTACGACGGCGCGTGAATGATACGGGAGAGAGCGAAAATGGAGTCGATGGTGCTGCAGTGACCATTTTGTTTTCAAACAATTTGGGTGGCTTTGCCGCTCTTATCCCGTTAAATTTCGTGTCTGGTGGTCCTGGTGGTGGTGGAGTGTTATACGATGTTAAATTGCCATAATAATTTTTTGAATTGATGTTATTGACATTTGACAATCCAAAACGCAAAAAGTGAAACCAAACTAAACCGAAATGGTTTAAACTGAGATTGAGCAGAAAATTGTTTGGTTTTTATTTAGGTATGGGCATATAAATTGAATTAAAAAAACTAAACGAATCTGAACCAAATATAAAAGTACCGAACTGGTGTAAATATTCGAATTGAAAGTTTCACTTCTATATCCAAAAAATTGATATCGAATCTGAACCAAACCGAGAACCACAAAAATTCCTAATACCCTATATATTAAAAGAGAAGTATTTTTAAAGAGAAACCTTAAATCTATACAATATTATAATAGTGTCATTTTGTCAACCCCATATTCATTTTCAGCAATTTTTTCTTAAAAAACTTAGATTACTAAATAAATTACATGATATGCTATTGTATATTCTAGATCCATAAATATGTTATATTTTATTTTTTAAATGAATTCAAAGGTAATATTATTAGAATTAATAATTTAATAAAATAAAATTTGTTTAATGCTAAATATAATATACCCAAATTTATTATATAATATTTTTAAAATATTATTCATATATTTTTTTATTATAAATTCATAATAAAATATATAATATTTTTTAATGTTTACTATCTTTATCATTCATGGTAAAATATATAATAGTTTTAATGCTTACTACTTTAAGAAAAATATGTTTATTGATTATTTATAAATAATATTCTTATGAAAACAACGGAAAAATTAAAAATAATATTTTCTTTTTCTCAAATTCATAACAAAATATATAACACTGAACTAATGTTTACTACTTTTATTAGAAAATATGTTTATTAATTGTTTATTTAAATTTTTTTTTATAAATACAACATAATAATTAAAAATAATATTTTGTTTCTCGAAAATATGTTTATTAATTTTTTATTAAAAATATTTTTATAAATGTAATAGAATAATTGAAAATAATATTTTATTTTTTTCAAAATCAATCAGAACAAATAAAAGAAAGTCATAATGATTTTATTCACAAATTTTTGTAATTATAGCATGCATGAAAATAATTATGAAAATATATATAATATTTTTTAACAATTCATAATAATATATGCAAAATATATATTATTTTCATCACAAACATCAACTAAAAAAGAAAATGATGAATTTCTAAAATTATTATGATATATATTATTGCATATACAGATTTACTATATAAAAAATATGATATATTACAATATGATTTAATTTATATATGACTCTTAGATGACAAATATTGTATATAACATTATTGCTTACTCTTTTTTGGTAAGAGATAATAATATGATAATACCAATATTAATTATTTATTTTTAATTAATATTTGATTTAACATATATATTATCAAATTTTCAGCAAGATTTGTTCATATTTGTTTTTCTTAGTTTGTCTGCTTTATATCAATCAATTTAACCACTGTAAATTTTTTATAAATTGATAATATTGTGATTTCAATATTTTCTTAATTTATAGAATTATAAATTTATAAGTTTGGAACTAAATAAATTATTTATTAATAATTAATTAAAAATTGTATTTGTTTTAAAATTTAGTGATATCTTTAAATATTTCACTCTTAAATTGTAGATAAACCATAACATTATTTCAATTTTAAGAAAAACAAACCATTATATATTCATATTTTAGTAAATTATCATAGTTATATATTTATATAAGATTATTTTGTGGTAATTATTAATTTATGATATTAATGGAATTATGGAACCATATATTTATATGGATTTTCCTAAAAAGATATTATCTTATCGATTTGTATCATATTTTTAACAAATCCAATTTGGAACTAAGAAAATGTTTTAATTTATTAACTAATAATATTTAATAGATAAGTAACAAAATATTTAACTAATAGTATTTAATTATTTAAGAGTCAAAATTAATTAAATATGTACGTAAATTTTATATCCAAATCTTGGACACTGGTGAAAATAATGAATAATATCATCAATTACGAGATATAGAAAATCTGTATAATAACTTCATATTTTTACCCAGCTATATCATGTGTTATGCATGCTACTTAATTTTTAAATTTATATACATTACAATTAAATTATCTTATATTTCATAAAAAACAAAACAAAAAAAAACAAAATTGCCAATGTTATTGTATAATATTATATAATTTTTTATAAATTTAATTATATTATATAATTTTAAATTATATTAGATATAAATAAATAATTATTATTTTACCCCGCACAAAGTACGGGTTATTATCTAGTATATATATATATATATATATATCAAAATTCTAAAAATCACAATTATAATCGAATATATTAATTATGTTTAGGCTAATATAACCAAAATCTTTTATTTATATATGTTAAAATTAAATATTTTTTGCAAAAATTAACCAAATATATGAAGATGTTTTAAATTTTAATTTTTATTAAAAAAGATTTAGATAAATTCCAGATAATTCAGATGCCCAGAACTGATCCAAACCCAACATGAACTGATCCTAGCTCGATCCGAAAATTAAAAATACTCGAATAGAACTTGTTATCTAAAACTGAAATAATTAATACCCAAAAAGAACCGATCCAAATTCGAATGGATATTCAAATGCTTAAGACTAGTTTTATTGTCCTATAACATAGAATACAAAACCAGAAATATCAATTTTAGTAAAAAAATCTGGTAGGGCGAATTTAAACTAATCTATACATAAATAAATTAAAAATTCTTTTTCAATATTCATTTTTATATAATTAATTATTGTTTAAGATCTTTTGTTTTATTTCATCCCACAATATCTACTAATTTTACAGATCGTTTTATCGTTTTGCTTCTATTAGAAATCGATCTATGCATTGTGTATAGTTATTTCTTAATACAATATATGTATTTTATAATTTTATATATTTATATTAATATTATATTTATCTTTTTATTCTGTATTTTATTATTAAAATGGTATTAACTTTTTATTGTACTAAAATATGTAGATCTGTTGTAAAGTATATTTGTTTTTAATATAAATTAAAAGAATTGTTAAAAAAACTCTATTTTATACTTTTATGATGTTTTAACTTGTAAATATCTATTTTTTCCCACTTAATATATCTTTTGAATTGGATTTTTTCCTATTTTTTGTATCGCTTATTTTTAGTAAAATCAACAAAATAAATTTACTATTAATTCTGCCCATTTTCAATTGATTGACTTCAAACAATTATGCATTTTAATTATTATTTTTTCCCCTTGTATAGATAAAGTTCATTTCTAAAGTGCTACTAATATCTAAAATGTTTAGAAGCTTACAAACAATGAAATAATTGCTAACATATACAGTTAGATGAAAATGGAAATGTCTAATTATATATATATCACTAGGAGAAGGTTCGTGCAACGCGCAAATTTGTAATGTTTTAAAGATTTTAATTTTATAGTATATTTTATTACCTTTGTTAGTAAAATTTTGCCGATAAATTTAGTTTTTAGTTTATAAATACCATGTAATTTTTTAAAATTTTATATTATAATATTGCTGAAATAATAATATTTATATAGAACGAGGTTTGATTCTAGTAAGAAAGTGTAGCTGTCATCGTTCTTTGAAAGCACACAAGAATGATCGGAAAGAAAATTTGGAGAATGAAATTCATATTGTGATAGTAGTGGTGGTTTGAGGTTTTATGAGATGTGGAAGGAAAGAATGAGCCATTAATCTAAAATAATTTCATGAAAGCAAATAATGAATGATTTTTTATTTGGTTGGCGACAAAGAAAACATAAAAAAATAAACTATTTTTCGCACATAAGTAATGCCACAATTAGCTCTTAAAAATTAAAAATATTCAAAAATAATGTAAAGTGGAAGATATAATGAATAAGAACAGGATGAAGAAAGGGATAAAAAACCAAAGCGTTTGTATTTATTTGATTAAAAAATCCAGGAGAGATAGAAATAATAAGAATTTTTTTTTGACACATGAAATTACTCTATCATATAATATTTATATTTTGTTGGTTGATTTGATTTTTGTTTTTTTTGTTGGATGAAAAAGAATCTGAAGAGAAGAGAAAAAAGATCTGAAGCTTTGTTTTTATGTTTATTTGATAAAAGAGAATCAAGTAGAAATATATTAAAAAAAAAAAAGATAAGTGGTACATATCAATTTATAAGGTGATATGTAGCAGCATATCAGAGATGATTCTAAAAAAAATCTTACTTATTAGAATAGATAGATATAACTGTGTAAGAAAATTATTATATTATGTGTGTTAATTGATTTTTTTGGTCAATATGTAATCTTTTTTTGACTAAATATATAAGTAAATGAATCAAAAATTTATGTTATTTTCAACTTTTTTGTTAAGCTATTTTTCAAATTTGACTAAGAAAAATACCTTTTAAGAATGTTTGTGTTAGTATATATAGCCAATCTAAAATAAAGGAAAACTCATAAGAAAAAAAACTTTAGAAATTATCATAAAAATGGTTCTTAACATGAAAAATTTAGTTATATTTGTTTTCACTATCTTTTTTATTATATCTTTTGTTCATTGCCATACAACAACTCCTAATACTATAGGTACTCGCTTATTCTAATACCCTACTCAATAATTATGTGATGATTTTATTTCTCTTTTACTGAATGTACATATTGGTTTAATGAATTTTTTGATATTATATATAGGTTATGGAATAAAAGCGAGTGAGACTATATGTTACTATGGAAACAGATCATGTTATTATGTAGGACCTATAGGCTGCGTTCAATTTTGTGACGGACATGGTTATAAAGAAGGCACATGTATTCAAAAGGGTAATAGATACATATGTTGTTGTCGTACTCCATTTACTAATATAAGTCCAAAATAAAATATTTAAATTAAATATAATAATATCTGTTTGAAACAACTATCATTATTTTCATTTGCTTTAAATATTTGAATGTTTTAATACAACATTGGA